AGGAGTAGATAATAGGGAAGGAGTGTGACGTCAATAAACAAGGGAAATTCGTTATTTACACAAGAATGCATAATCGTGTCGTACGTTTTAGTCTGTATCTCCGGATTGCTTGTGTATACGAGGAAACGATTTCGCACGATGCTAGGCGAATGTACTGTGTACGATTTGAGCTCAAGTTGGATGAGTTACGCAGAGTAAATCGTAGGAATTTTAAGGCTAGTAAATGACGAATTTCTCTTGTTTATTGATGTCACACTCCTTCCCTATTATCTACTCCTGACAATATCATATAGAGTACACAATCTATTATCCGAAATTCTGAAAACCGAAAAACTCCGAAAACCGTGAGTTTTTTCGTGGAGCTTGTCTGCACACCAAGGCTCGTGTTTGGTGCCAAAACTCAACCCGACGAATATTAATGTGTTTGGCATTACTCATACATATTGTACTGTACCGGTACATCACTTGGCCTCTAGAAAACTTGCGTTTTAGTATTTCTGTACTGTACTACCATTCCCAAATCCGAAAAATTCTGAATGCCAAATTAACGTGTCTGGTCCCAAGGGTTTCGGATAATAGATTGTGTACTGTATTAAAGTGATTACGTCACCCTAAATAGTAAAATTAAAAAACAGTGATTCTGTTCACTTTTTATGGTTAAATTGCTGCATTATACTTCATATTTTGCTACTCTGTTAGATGTGAACAAACCCGTGTGACTCATCCATAGCCCATAGCAAGCATTTAATGTCATGATCGATAAATCAAATCGCCCTGATTTTTTTTATTTTCAACTAGTTGAAAAACAATCTTATCAGGTAAGAATTTGAGGATACATTTAGTGCCTTTAGTACTTATACTTTTCATGTAAAAAAATTGCAACAATATTTTTACAAATGTAGGCACCATAGAAAATTCGTGATGTAGTCAATTTAAAACAGGTCATGCGCGTGTGACCCTAACCCCAGTGACGGTCCTGCATCGAAAAGCCCTCTAGGGCGCGTTTGTTTGGGACGAATCCATCGGATCGCGACCATGTGATCCTGATCCGACCAAACAAATGCAAACTCACTTTCACCGGTTCACGTTTCACTGTGACCTATCACGGGATGGTTAATAACAAAGAACCAGCTGTGATTGGCTGAGGCGCAGGCCGCCATATTGGATCCCGTTCGAATCCGCCTCGCTAGCAGGGTCGGGTTCGGTGGATCGAGATCAAGTGATCCGACCAAACAAACAGTCAGATCAACGAATCCATTGCATCGAGATCTGTGGATCCGACAGTGCGTCCAAACGAGCCTCTAGTTACGACAGATGTTCCCAGATGTCGACATTTGTTAGAAGATCGCGTTTTTATGAAGTTATCACAAAGCTTCTGCGCGTGCGTACACACAAAAATCTCATATGTGAAAGACGGGCAAGTAGGAATAGAAAGAACGCGAACGAGGCTGTGAAGAATGGAAGAAGCGAAGGAAGGAGTGATGGAGGGTGGAAAGGAGAGAAGGGAGGAGAGATGGAGGGTGGAAAGGAGAGAATGGAGGAGAGATGGAGGGTGGAAAGGAGAGAAGGGAGGAGAGATGGAGGGTGGAAAG